ATTATTGACGTCAGCACATTAGTTTTCAAAATTAATTTGATATCAAATCGGATGGAAACAAACGTCGCAATCAACACTTAAGAAAATAATAGTGTAAAAGTATGTGTTATTTTTTTTATATTCTATAGTATAAGACGTCACGCACAGAGCGCGTGGTTCTCTTAACTCAATGTTGGTAGAAAAAGAAAAAAAGTATTTGCTAAAATACGATGATATTCGATAAAAATCCAGCACAAATTTTATCAAATCACCGATTATGAAGGATGGGTATGGAAATATCTACAATAGAACTCACGCATACCCAACTTTAGAGGCTGAATATGCATGAATTCATATTCTCTTTCTCGTAGAGAAGAGTCCAGTAGACATAAATGGTTTGCTTGCTTGCTTGTGTGTCCGCAGGGTCAAAAGAACATCGAAAATCAATTTTCTGGAAAAGACATTTCTAGAGGTTTCTCGACGCGGGGAGTTCGAGTCTGAGGACTATCGAGTGACTGTGTAGAGGGGTCGGAGATAAAAGTTCAAAGGTCAAAAAAACCACCGAAAATAAATGTTTAACTTTTTTTATTTGTTTTTCCAGTAAATGTGAAGAAAATGGATTTCCACGAGAAAGAGCAAAGTGAGTCCTCGGACGAACGTTACTTGTATGATTTAAGTAAATATTTCGATGTGACGCATCTGCTATGTGCAAATAAGTTGATATTATAATCTTTAACCATTATCAAAACTAAAGAAGACATCAACTGTAAAACATTAGTAGATGATTTTGAAAATGTTATCAAGTTAGCTGTTCAAAGAGTACAAAAAGATATTTGGATATATCTCTTGTTACATACTCTTCGTTAGAAAGAAAAATCATGATAAAAATTTTCTTTTATTATTCCTTATTTTTTATTGTTAAGTAAAACATATCATTTTCTAAATTCACTTCATATATAAGAATTTTTGTTTTTTTTAGTTTTTCAGGTATAATGGTCATTTTTTGTTTTCCTGTTTAATCAACTCCTAATTTCCATTTATAATATTTGACCACAACTCTCAAAGGGTAAACGTCATTTGATACACCTTTTTGATGAAAAATATTGATTCTTACGTTCTATTACACACACACTATAATATCATCAAATTACGTAAATGTCATAACACAACACAACAATAACAAGATTGATTTCATGTATGAGTTGTTTATGAACGAATATTTCTATGATGCAAAGGTACGTAATAATGAACATATTGTGGAAATTAAAAATTGTCTTATCATTTGAAATCATCTGTTTAGGAACATCCCAGTTAATGATTCAAATTTCATTATTTTTCTTCATAGATTATGATAATACATGTGTTATTTCCTTAGTCATGAAAGGACCGGTTACAGTCTTAAAAAAAAGAAATACGTGGAATTAAGAATATGTGTGCTAATGACAAAATATAATTGGTATAAGAGGATTTTCTTACAATCTTGTCTTGACAAAGTTTTTTCAAAAATGTTAAATAATAATCACTAATGGAGCATGCCGAATTCTATCCGTTTATAATTAAATGAACATCGTACTTCTCTAGTTTTAACTGGTTCATAATCGAATGTCTTGTAGAACTAAGTTTCAAAAAATAAAGATCAAATCATAATTACATCATTTTCTCTAATATTTTGAATTTTTTAATAATAGATGAGATTTTGATTAGCTACAAAATTCTTAGGTATAGCTTCGTTTAATATGAAATAGAGAGTCAAAATTTGTTTATCTAAAAATCATTCATTTGATGAATTGAGTTCTTGAAAAATATTTGCACCATAAAATGAACTTTCATCAATAGAGACAAAGCGAAACTTCATCTATTTTAAAACGTTTTTGAAGTACACACTCTTAACGTCTCATCATTTCTCTCTTCACTTGGTTTAATAATGGTGAAATAACAAAAAGTATATATAGTACAACCGATAAATAATTATTTATTGAACACTGATAAATAAATTTGAATGTCTAGATGTATAATATCAACTTTGAAGATTAAGTTTTATAGTCGCTTATAATATTTTAATTATACTTTCTATTATTGTCTTTAATAAATTTATATAAGAAAATGATGTTATATAGGTCAAATAAATCAACCCATGTAGCTTTGTCTACTGATAGTAAACAGACATTTCCGACATATAAAATGCAGAACTTGAGAGAAACGACAAGAAAATAAATGAAGAAAGTAAAAGATACGAATTTTTTCTTTTCTGTAAGAAAAAATTATGAGATAATTCAAACATTTTCTCATTATGTGTAGAATGTAAGGCTATTAGCACGTCGCGTCAGTGTCATTTTCTTTTTTCTATATAAACAAGTTGTGTTTTTTCCTAGCTATCATATAATATCTTTAGAATACAAATAAAAATGTTAACAACAAATACAACATTCAATCTTCCATTGTTAATTAAAACTAAACCATCAACAAAAAAACAAAATTTATCTGAATGTCGAATATGTGGCGCCCCTGCTCAATACGCAAATTTTGGCGTTATTTCATGTCATTCATGTAAAGTGTTTTTTAAACGAAATGCTAATACTAAACAAGTTAGTTTTGATTAGTTTTTTTTTAATTTTTAAAATAAAAATTATTCGTGTGATTTAGACAGCATTTAAATGTAATTTTAATGGCTATTGTGAGATCAGACGAGATGATCATCATATGTGTACATCATGTCGACTTAAGAAATGTTTTCAATATGGAATGACTACTGACAAATTTCGACCATCAAGACCGACTAAATTAAAAACAAAATCATTAGTTAAAGTAAAATCACGAATGTACGAAATATTTGTCTTATTTAGTTTTTAGTTATCAATATTAAATTCTTTAAAACCCGATCATTCATTATTGACTACGAGTCAATGGACACTTCTCTCAAATTTATATAATGGCTTTGATGAATCTCAACTTTTATTATTTGGTAAATCTTTGGCAGATACACATAATTCTTTACAACCAATGAATGTGACATATCAAAGGCTTGTAGAAAATTATTTATTATCTATTTATGAAACAACAGGAAGATATCTTTGTTTGAATGATGATATTTGTAAATTATCATTTAATGATCGTTCCATCTTACTTCCTACTGCTGCAGATAATATGTCTAGCATGGCTTCTATATTTATTATACATCACTTTGATTTATGTAGTCTAGAATCTTTTTTGAAAATTATGTCAACAATGTATGACAATCATGCAATCTCTCTTTCTCTATGGACAATGAAATTTATTAATCCAGATATTATAATATTTAAATTAGCACTTTCATTATTTGCTTTATCAAAAACTACTTATTTATATTCTCCAAATATTCCAATAGATTCAACAAATTCTTCTACAATATTTCATATTCAAAATAAATATGCTGAAGTTACATGGAAATATCTTAATTATAGATATGGTTGGTATGAAGCTGTTAAACATTTTCATAGCATCATATATTGGCTTATAGCTTTGACAATGCTTATGGACGATGTACAAAATTTTAGTAGACATGTTGATAGTGTTGATTCACTTGTTGAATTAACTGAACTTACATTTATATTAGATGATGTTGAGGAAATAATCGATACAAAATAGAAGTCAACGATTTTTATGTTATATGTGCTTATTGTTTGTTTGTTTTATAGTTGAAGCTTTGAAATATATACAAACATAAATAAACTCAAAGTACATTTATTCTACAGTATTGATCAAATCTTTATAGAATATCAATGAAATCAATTATGAAAATTTTAATCGAATACGAAGATACATTTACGTGTATATGTATTACAATTTTCATTTCATTATTACACTCAAACCAATTTTGACTGTTTTAGATGAAAAATCATTATTCTAACAGAATTGAGCCAGGTAGCATTCTTGAGGGTGTGGGTGTTGATAAGTAATCACCCTTCACATCTGTAGCACATCCTCGAGATGCTTTTGGCAAAAACAAATGGTACACTTAAATTTTGATATTGAGTTGAGAGTGCGAGGATTTATTAATCATTTACACTCACATCCTCAACAGTTGTGCTTCATTCACTTATTTTTCTACATGTAGCATATTTAATTGTAAAAGGATTCGGTTGTTTTGTCTAGCTAGTTGCTCATTTATACTGACGATGAAGCAAGATAAAATACTTTTAAATGTTCCACAGATGGGTGTTTATGATAGGATGGATATAATAGAACAGGTCTTACTAATCAGCTTTTGACTACTCCAAATGATCAAAGTGACATTTTTCGGTTGAATTTCATTTTTCGCTACGAATGAGAGAGAGCTGATGAAGTTTATGATCATATCAATGTGACATAAAAAATGATACTATCTATATTTGATATTTATTTTTATTAATTTTTTAATCTTATTAATTTTGTTAACGACAGTAGATGAACGTGTTAAGACAAAAGTCTTATCACAACTTTTCAGAATGATCATTTTTAAAATGTTAAGCAGGTTTCAATTCTATTTTATCGTTAGTCCAACGTTCTGTCTAATCATTTTCAGTCTATAAATAATATTTTTAGGGATGAAAGCTACACTGACATAAAATTTTATTAAATAACAAGCTGAGAAATTGATAGTACAACTTTTTTCAGAAACAGTACTTTCGAAACTTGTGAGATTTCATCTTCACTCCAAGTGTTCTTCATTTTTCGACAAATTAGAAATAATATCACCATGAATTCATCAAATTTGTCTTTCATTATCCGATAGTCTATGCAAAAGACGGAAAATGTTCTGTTTCATCGACATTTCTGTATTAGTTGCCAAATCGAGGCGAGTACTATAGAAATAAATTAGAAGAGTTCTGAAATAAAGAAGAAATATTGATTATTGATGAGTTTGTCGTCGCCATCGTTTAAATGATTCTTGAAATGTTTTTCTGTACAATGCTGAAGGAAGAACAAAAACAATAAAGATAAGCATCGATGGAGTAAATGAAATGAAATAACCAAAAATAAATAACAGTCGATGGTTAGATGGATTGACACATTCAGATAACATTGACATTATCAGACGGGGTAAGGACAGAATTAGAAGAATAATCGGACTAATTAATAGTTGTTTGTGTTCACTAAGTTGGTTATAAACGTGTTCTTTTAGAGTTCGTCTTGTTTGAGCTGCTGATCGCTGTCGAGCTGATCCAAATATGATGAATAAAGCAGAACAAAGATTGATAATACATGGAGTGACAAGGTGAAAAAACAGGATGACTGTATTGTATTGCTGAAGGGTATGAGAATAACGAGTTATACACCATCTATCGATATCCAATTTGCTCGTCTCTGTCTTTATCTCACGTAATTCTCGGTATATAGGTTCGTGAATGATTGAACCCATGACACAGAATGGTAAAATAAGAATTATCCATCGAGCAATGCGTTGACTTTTCTGTTTATTAAATTTGATTCCTTTGAACACAAGAATTGCTCTTTCAACAGCTACACAAGCATTGAGCCAAGCATCCAAATATAGACAAAGCTTGAGAAGAGGTTCGATCGATATACAACCACCTCGAACAACAGAAACATGAATTGATAGATTCATCTGAGTGAAAACAACAAACCAAAATTTAACTGTAAACATGCTAATTGTAAGAAAAGAAGTGATTGATGATGCTAAGAGATATATGCCACATCCAACTTGTCGTAGATCTTTACTTTGAAATGTTAATAGAGACAACAAACTATTGATCAAACCTCCAACAAACATTATGGTCGTTAAAGCGATATTGATTTTCATCAGCACTGTTTGGTCAGTCAATGTCATATTCGGTCGAATTTCATCACGTAAAATATCATCGAGAATGATACCAATACTTTTTTTGTAGAACTGACATTTTTGACCAATGAAACAACTAGTCAGAATTTGAGCTGAAAAAAGAAATAAGTGGTCATCAGGAGATTATATAAATCTTTCTCAACTTAACAAACTTATATCAACGTAAATTTATAAGAAACAATAACTTATGAAAGTCATTTGACTTTAAATGATATATCGTGTCGAGATTGAATTTCTATATTACTATTTTCTGTTCAATATCTCATGATGAATTTACTCATTTTTGTAAAGATGTTTCTGCATATGAACTCAATAAATTTTCAAAGGGTGCAAATTAATAAAATCTTATATAATGTGAAATCACTGAAGGGCAGATCTTCTCAGATATATTGTTGATGCGAGGAGAAAACTTGTATTAATTTACCCAACTGATTGAACTCGTACAATCCATCTGATGACGACTAAGCTACAGTAGTAAGACTTAATCTTATCTGATTGGAGATCTATCTGAAATTCTCTGATCTCTTGCTATTCAAGAGTGAAAATCGAGTTTAGTGGAATATTGTAATTCTTTGTTGATGATTTACAAATAATAAAAAATACTTACTGTACGGATCAAGAGTGATATTATTTGGACCAGATGTTAGAATGGAAAAGTTTCCTGTCATATTTGGAGAAAATGTTGTTACCACTAATATGTATGTAGTGCCAGTATGAAGATAAGCGATGAACTTGAAACCTTGAAAACTACAACTTCGATAATTCTGTGAGAGCAGATTCTCGAAAGGACTCATTGAATCAAAATCATCCTCGTAAATATCACCAAATGTATCCATACTGCTATCACTACTCAGAGCATAGTATCCAGTTTCCAATACATTTACTCGTATAGTTTGATAGTAATAATTTGATTTTCGGCAATCTCGAGAATATGTTTGACTACTTGTATTCAGCTCTGATGAATAATTTGATTGTGTATTTGATGAATATGGTATTTGCGTGACTGATGGAGAATCTATGTGATATAAACAAAAATAACAGTCTAGATTCGCGTGACAGATCTTGACTGACTGAGCGAACGACGAATTACTTGGATGAAAGAAAGAAAATTGAGCATCATAAGTCATCTCTTATATACTCTGAATATCGAAAGGTATGTTGAAGCTGAGCCTAGCTTTCTGAAGAGATGACTGTCTATAATATCACTCTCAGCGAACGAATTAAACTGTAAATGAAGAGTGAGAATAGAATCTATAAACATTTTTCGGTGCTCGCATCCTCGATAATATATGTCACGAATGAATACGGAAAAACTTCTTCATTTCGAAAATGGATAATGTCCCAACGTTTTAGATGAGGAAAATTGTTTATTTATAGTCTAATTCCTCTACTATTGTGATTTATTCAAAAATTAAAGTACGTAAAGATATCTTTTAGATTCATACAAAGTAAGAATATGTTTATGTTTTTTATCTACGATAAGTTACATTTAAATGTTTGTAGCATTTTTTATTATAGGAACATTGAGTGATAGGGCATGTTGTAATAAAAAGCAACGTTTTTTTTATTTCATAGTCACTAGTAGAGATTCATGTCTTATTGTATATTATTTACATCAGATTAGCGATCGATTGAAAGAGGTCTGTATTGAAGTAGAGTCCTGCAAACCGGACGGGTACCCGACACCCGGCCCGACCCGGACCTGGGCACCGGGTAAAATTCACCGGGTCGGTTCGGGCATCGGGCGTTAAAAAAAAATTCGGTTCGGTTCCCGGGTAGGAGTGTATACCCGACCCGAACCGACAACCAATGACATCACCAAATTTATAACATTTTATTCTGATACTATTACTAATATGAAAAATGAAGTCACACTAAATCTAATAATGATTAAACGACCCATTAGTCATTGAAATATTTCATAAAGAAAAGTTTAGTTTCTTTGAATAGCTTTTGTTATGTTTCGGATAAAAAGCTTTTATTGTTTTGTTAATTAACATCTTACAATACGAAAGGTGGATGTAGATGTGAGCTTGTGTGTGTGTGTGTGTGTGTGGATGTAAGATAAGAGCAAGATCCACATCATCAGCTAACTCCTGATTCACTTGTTTTTTTACGTAATTTTACATAATATATATTTTTATTTGTTACTTATGAATAGGGGTAGGACAGTTCCATATTAGTTACGTCCTTAGGAAATGTATAATAGTTCTTTTGACCAGTTCATCTGAACTTGGAACTATGAACTGTCCTACACCTACTTATGAACGAAACTAGACGTATTATATTTATTGAATAAAATAAAGGTTTAGAAATTTGATCATATTTTGAAAAATAACTGAGTAGACCGGTTCGGGTCGGTTCGGGTCCGGTCTAGCTCATTCGGTCCGGTTCGGTTCCGGGTGGTTAACTAGTCGGGTCGGTTCGGGCCCGGGCGTAAAAAAAATTGCCGGTTCGGTTTCGGGTACAAAAAAGTGCACCCGTGCAGGACTCTATATTGAAGAAGATTAATCTGATCCTATTCATAGTATTCTATTATATGATGGATTTAATGTAGCCGTTTATGAAAATTTTTCTTCTTATAATACAAACGTCATCTTATAAAACAAATTTTTATTTGTGGGTATGCTAAACTCAACTAAATACTCATGTTATCGTTGATAGATATTCGTTTACTAGTTGTAATGCAAATACTTACTTATATTCTTGAGGTTGACATTGTCTGGGCCACATACAACGATTGAGAATGTACCTATATCATTGGATAAATACGTTGTCACAACCAATATATATGTAGTACTATTTTCAAGAGCAATTGTGAATCTAAACTGATTTATATCGCATTCATTATTATTGTCAGAGATTCGATTTTCATTTGGATTGAATGGATTGAAATATTCTTTGTAAATAGAGCCGTATGCGTATATGCCCATATTGCTTTTACCGAAGAAAGTATAAAGACCACTTCTATGAACATTCACTTGTATCGTTTCATAATAAAAGCTTGAGAAGGAACAACTACGAAAATACGTTGAACTGTTTGTTGTTAAGTTTGATGCATAAGTTGTTTGAACAACTGATGAAGTATTTACTAACGAAAAAGAAAATCGATCCAATTTTGTGTAATATAGAAATAAGTGTAAACAATTTGAAATATTGCTTTTTCGTAGATACATTTATTGAAGACAAATGAACACGATATGAATGTTGATATAAATGAGAATCACTATACTCTCACTTTCAAGATGATAGAAAACACTTTGTGATTCCGGGTGTAGTTGTAGGATAAATTTGATATTTATACCCACACCAACACTCATCCTCAACCATCCATATCCACAACTATTACATTAGAAATCAACTGTAACAAATGCCAATTCAAGAAGAATTGTTCGGATACTATTCGTAATATTTCGTTACTAGATGAGGTTAATGTAGCTGTTTGTGTAAAAGTGCCGTCTTATAATAAAAATGTCATCTTACAAAACAAGTTTATATTTGTGGATATGTCAGACTCAACTAAATACTCATGCTAATGCTGACAGATATTCATTTATTAGTTGTAGTGCAAATACTTACTAATATTCTTGAGATCAACATTATTTGTACCAGATACAAAGATCGAGGATGCACCTGTTCTATTAGAAATTAACGTCGTTATAATCAATATATATGTGATACTGGTTTCAAGAGCAATTGTGAATCTGAACGGATGTTCCTTGCAGTCATCATAATCGTGAAAAAGGTCGTTTTCGTCTGGATTGAATGGATTGAAATATTCTTTGTAAATAGAGCCGTATGCGTATATGCCCATATTGCTTTTGCTGAAGAAAGTATACAGACCACTTCTATGAACATTCACTTGGATCGCTTCATAGTAAGAAGTTGACTCGGAACAACGAAGTAAATACGTTGAACTGTTCGTTGTTAAGTTTGATGCATAAGTTGTTTGAACAACTGATGAAGTATTTACTAACGAAAAAGAAAATCGATCCAATTTTGTGTAATATAGAAATAAATGTGAACAGTTTGAAATATTACTTTCTCTCTCTCAGATCATTTACTGAAAGCGACTGAAAGTGATATGAATCTTAGTCTCTATCGAATAGAAATATCTGTATACCATTTTATAGATTGAGTTAGTCTATATTTTCTACCGATGATGAATATTTGCAGCTGATTATCTATTAAAATACTATATATACTCACAAATACGATTGAAAGCGATATAGCCTCGACCAGATCCATGAATTGAAACATTTACTGTTACATTCGAAGAAGATGTTGTCATAACGAGAACGTATTTCATATTAGCTTCAAGAACAGCTGTAAGTTGAAGTTGACCTTGATTACCAAAGTCTTCACTATAGCTTAGCACATTTTTGGACACATGGAATGGATTGAAGTTATTTATGTAGGTGTAAGCGTACATGGTTTTCATCTCGCTGTTGATTAGAAAAGTATAATATCCAGTTATATTGACATTCATTTGAAGCGCTTCGTAGTATGAATCTAACTCTGAACAATCTTGAAAATAAATTGAACTATTTGGTGTCAACGATGATGAATACGTTGATTTTGTTAGTAATAATGAGTTATCTATTGAATGAAAAAATCAATAAATATTTGTATTTAGAATAAAGAAAAGAAATGATTGTGCATATTCTTAGTTTCCTTTTCACTCTGTTTACTAATCAGAGTTGAATCGTTTATTTTAGAGCAATGCTTTTAATAGAGAAATGAGGAAAAACATGAAATAAAATATCTATTTAGTGTCCTCACAATAAGTATCGATGTTAACTTTTAAAATCCTCATGTTCTTTCCAAGAGATATTGTAATAATTACAATAAAGCAATGCTATAAAATCTCGTATACAAAAACGAGTACCATTTTGGACTAAAAAAGTCTTATAAGTCATATAAACTTACAAATTTCTAATTTCTTCGTTATCATCTTTTTCTTCAAGCTTTTCTTTTTTTATAAATATAATGTACAACATTAGTTTTTTTGTTGATATTACTAAGAATAATAATAAACTATCTGATGAAACTATTTCATAAAGTTCTAGTCAATCTATGAATATAATATGACATCATCAAGAAAACGTCGGTTGGAAGTGACATTCGATGCATTATTAAAGTAGTACAAGAGCGACTCTTTGATTAATTTTTATTCTGGTAAAGCGCGTCTTGAATAACCAGATAAGGTTGGAACTTTTTCCTTCTTCTTGTTTTTGACATTTTTCTATAAAGAAACTGACCTATGTTTAAATCTCACTCCTTTGTGATAATCTTCATTCTATTCTCGTTCGTCAATCAAAATTATGGCCGCAAATATAACATAATCGTTTTCTCATTTAAAGGGTAAAGGTGATATTCTGAATCTGTATAATTGCGCCGCAAGTTGTGGTTAACACTCGAACATAGAGTTATTTCACTTTGACAGATCTTTTATATCTACCAATTTAAAAGCACATTGAACAATTATGCAAAACGAATTTTTGCTGATTTTGAAGCAATTTGTGAAACTCTCTCGTTTTGAAATATGAAATTCCACACAAGGAATTTTTCTTCATATTGATACTTATTTCAAAGTGTTTTTAGTTCGATAAACATTTGATGAATTTCGATGAAAATCTTACTTCTCATGAGTGTTTTGCGTTTCATAAAATCATTGTGTTCATTAGTTTCTACAGTTACCAGCGGTACATGAGCGCTGATAACGGTGAATCAAAGAAAAGCTATAAAGAAAGTTCAACAAAAACGGCTGAATTGATCTTTGACTTCCTTACTAAATACATAAAGATTCTAACTTCATCTGTATTATGTTACTAACATGACGATAATGTTATCGAATGACTTTTGTAGAAATTTATGAATAAGCAAGGTTTTTTTTGATAACAATAGTATATTAGAATGAAACTTGAAATCTGAATTTAACTATTCAATAATTCAGTTCGGAATCCATTAAGAGTTTCATTTTCATCTTCATATTCTATGATAGTTTTTCTTTTTATTTCTCTGATTAAATATTGATTGAAATGATACGAAAGACTTTATTCAATCGTTTTAAACTTACCACATGACTCTTCGAAATATTTAAATTTTTGAATTCGATGATTGTCTTGATCAAGAACAAACACGTTTCCAAAACGATCGAAGCTAAGACTAAGTGGACCAAATAATTGATTAGATTGTGAGCCCGATCCATAACATCCAAGTAAACATCGAAAACCATTCAAGTCGGAACGAACAATGCGACTACTGTCTTGATCTACAATGAATAAATATTTGTCAGCATCTAATATAATTCCAGTTGGACAATCAAGTGTAATTGTTGGATTTTGTGATTTACTTCCAGCCACTGTGATGCCATTCGATTCTCTCAATTGAAACAACTGAACTCGTTCATTTAGACAATCTGTCACATATAAATCCAAGTTTACATCGACAAAAATTCCATGGGGGAAAAAGAATTGATTCGAGTCTGGACCTCCAATACCTGTTCCAGCAGCAACACAATCTGAAACCATCAGAGAATTATTTAATGATCTTTTCACTACTTGATGATGTTGAAGCATTGAACAATAAAGAGTATTATTGATATCGACAAACAAACCCCAACACGATGACTTGACATTCATCACTGTGACAAAGTTATTCGTTTCTGCTATCCATTTCTGCACTCGACCATTCTTCTCGCCATCATCAATATAAATATCATTATTTGATGTCACGAAGAGAGAATTAGGTTGTGTAAAGTTATCGTGAGTAATCTTTGTTGGACTGACACTCTCTTCATGCCAAATTAGAATTGTGTTCTCCTCTCGATTAGCGACATAGATTGTGTTGTTTGTGTTCACAAAAATGGCGCGAGGTTTCGAGCCAACAATCGATCGATTAGCAAAAGTAACTGCATTGGAATTCCAAGTGGCAGTTGAACATAACTTTGGTTGATTACATGACTCAGCTAAAAATAAGAAAAATAGAAAGAATATTACAGAAGTACTGTAAACGAAATAAATTTGTCAATTTATATATTCATAGAAGAAAAATAAAGTTTCTCCAAGGAAATTTTAAAGAAAAAGATATTTAGAAATGTTTGTTAACATTGATTTTGGAAATGATTTTTATTAATTTTAAAATGAAATGTAAATTGTGATATTGTTAAAATGTGTTTGTTTAACTCTTGTTGAAAAGTTCTCTGAAAGATCTGAATACATTGTATCGAAGAAAACAATGAAATAGAAGGAGTTTATCTATCTGAAGACAAAAAAAACAATTGAATAGAACAGAATTTTACGAGTTCAGTCTATTTCTTTCAATATTGAACATCTTGTTCGCCTTTCTAAAGTGAATTTTAATTATAAAGCTGTTTTTTTTAAATGATTTTGAAGATTTACCATTGCAAATCTTTCTTTGAAATTTTAGTAGTATTTTGCAAATTTCAATGTTTTTCCTATGAAATAAAGAACAACACAAGAAAATGTTTATTTCCATGGGGGAAAAATAAATAATTCTCTTAAAACGGAACTAATCATTAACTAAACATCTTCAAGAAAAAGTAAAATAAATATCTGTAACTGACTTATGGAAAATTTTCATTTAAGAATAATTTAGAATAGACTTGATTGAAAATCAATTTTTCTTATTGATCATCTCAAATAATTGAATTTTATTAAACAAATAAATATTTTTATTTAAAATCAGGTCAAGAGATTGTATTTATTTTATCAAATAAACAACTTTTTTCTTTTATACAAAATATTCTTTGACGCATGAAACGAAATATGAAAGCCTTTTCTATCAATCCATTAAGGACAGAACTTTTTCTTTCTCATTTATTTAATCTCAACAAAAAGGCGAAGATTGTTTGCCTTAGACGATTGACATATGACTCTATTTAATCTGAACATTTCATTTCCTTAAACACATTCTTTTACACACTGGTTTAATTAATCTTTCTAAACCATTTTTGTTTTTTTTCCTTTTTTCTATTGAAATATCTTTATTAACTTCGGTTACTTACCTATTCACATCTCTTCATTTCATTCAACCTTTATTCAACTTACCAAAAGAATCTTTCATCAATAAAAATTTTTGAATCCGAGAATTTCCTTGATCAGCTACAAATATGTTTCCAGAACGATCGAAACTAAAACTAAGTGGACTAAACAATTGATTAGATTGTGAGCCCGATCCATAACATGCAACTAAACATCGAAAACCATTCAAGTCTGAACCAACAATGCGATGACCGAAACAGTCCACAATGAATAAATATTTGTCAGCATCTAATATAATTCCACTTGGAATATAAAGTGTAATTGTTGGATTTTGTGATCCATTTCCAGCTACTGTGATGCCATTCGATTCTCCTGGATGAAACAACTGAATACGATTATTGAAACAATCTGCCACATATAAATCCAAGTTTACATCGACAAAGATTTCAATAGGACCGTTGAGTTGATTCACGGCTGATCCTCCAATATCTGTTCCAGCAGCAACACGATTTGAAGTCATAACAGAATCATTTAATGATCTTTTCACTACTTGATTTCGATTGAATATTGCACAGTAAAGAGTGTCATTGATATCGACAAACAAACCCCAACACGATGACTTGACATTCATCACTGTGACAAAGTTATTCGTTTCTGCTATCCATTTCTGCACTCGACCATTCTTCTCGCCATCATCAATATAAATATCACCATTTGTTGCCACGAAGAGAGACGAGGGTTCTGTAAAATTACCATGAATGATCTTTGTTGGACTGACACTCTCTTCATGCCATATTAGAATTGTGTTATTCTGTCGATTAGCGACATAGATTGTGTTGTCTATGTTCACAAAAATGGCGGCAGGAGTTTGACCAACAATCGATCGATTAGCAAAAGTAACTGCATTGGAATTCCAAATGGGTTTTGAAGAAAACTTTGGTTGATTGAATGAGAGAGCTAAAACGAAAAAAATATAAAAAATATTAGAGAAGAACTGTAAACAAAATGAAATTGTTAATTTATGTTTTCTCATAGAAAAATCCATCGCGATTAGTTTTGAAAAGATTTCTATGATTGTTTTGTATTTTCTCAGATGATTTGTAAATATTAACTAAGAGAGAGCTGTACTCATCGAAGAAGATTAACTTTATCTATCGATTTTTTTAATATTGTAAATGAAAAATAATTATGTTCGATTTTTGAAAAGATTTGATTTTCATTGAAAACAAAAAAGAAATAATCAAATAATTTGTTTTATATTTTCAACGAAAAAAGATTCTTTCCTTTTATGCAGTTCAAAAGTTTTAAATTTTTTTCATTGTTATAAGAGTAAATAATATCTTGAGGATGTGGGTGGGAGTGTGGGTAAGAGTAGAGAGGATAGTACGCGCACTCATCACGCCGACACCCACCCACACTCACACCCACACCCCCAAGATAGTATAGATTTTGAAAATAATTGTAGATACAAAATCAAAAGCTTCACCATGGTTTTTAGTATGAAATAATATATTATGTTTAGAAACAACCGGTCAATCTATTTGGTGTTTTTGAAATGAACGATTCAAAGATTTTTACAATGTGACACACATATAACTCATATTTCATCACTGATAGTTATGACAATATTTTATAGTTTCAACAGAGTTTAATAATAAAATGAATCACTGTAGAGAGACACATTTTCTGAATGATTTAGATTGAAGTCTAGAAAAGATGAGAACGGTCACTTTTGAATATATAAAGAAAATTCTTGACAAATTTTGTAATCTATTATTTGACTCCCTTTTGTACAATAGCTGATCTTCAGTATGTGATAAACAAAAGTATTTACCTGATATTTCGTTGTTGAGAATGAACAGAAGAATAATAATAAATATGTAGATATTCCACATCATTCAACAAGAATTTTTCTTTGATAAATTAGTTAAATAATAAAATAATCTCCTTCTTCTTTGTCTTCGATGAAAACAAAATGACACTCATTGTGGATTTTCTCTCTAGTTATATATCTCTCTCTTTCTCTCCCTTTCTCTCTCATTAATTTCTTTCAAAATAAAACAAAGAGAAAAAATAGTATTCTAGAGAAATTTCGTCATAAGTAAGATAAAAAATTGATTTTAGATTGGATTAACGAACAAAACTCATGATTTTATTAGATTATTTTCAAAATTCAAAAAAACAGAATGGGATTTAAATTCGACATGATCCTTTTCTTCTTTTTTTAATTTTAAAGAAAATCTTCAATTTTAGTGAAGAAGAACGTGATGAAGAGAAGGGAGAGAACTGATGACAATCTAGATTAATCATCGGACGTGTTTTAACTGAAAATAAGATATCAACTATCATCGTCAATAAATGATTGACGTCAATGAATAAGTCATGATTAGTTTGATGTCTGTTTTTATTTGACTCTGTTAAATAATCTGCTTTGTCAGGACTCACTTTTAATCACGTTCTTTATTTCTCTACGCGCAATAAGTATCTATGAGAAAAGATTCCTTTGTTTGAATATTTCAATCTGTTTTCGAATAAAAACTTATCATACATATACAAAGCAGAAGTGTCCATCGCGATACGGGAGATTTTTCTAAAAGACATGGAAAAGATGCATGAATGCAACTCTAAATTGAATACTAACAAAGACAACATTCTGATAATGGATAAATCTTATCAATTAGTATAAAAAGTTCTATTCAAACATAATCACAGTCGTGAAACCCAGATTAATAATCTAATATTCTTCACAATCTGTCAGCACCGAGTTTTCAAGCATGATGGACATCTTAGATTCAAACTGATTTTTCAACCAGAAATGATAAATGCATTGGTACTGTGGGTGAGTCAAAAATAAGTGATCATCCGCATAGTCTCACACAAGTCTTCATCCTAAAAATCAGCAGAATACACCTGAAGACCTTCCTTTGTTAGAGATAAAGCAAATAATTTCAATGTTAACAACCATTCATTAAGGTTTTATCAATTTTATTAAAAGATTCTTCGACCGAATAAATGCAATCGATGTTTTCAAAAACAAAATAAAAATAATGTGAGTCAATCTTTGTGAATCGATATTGATAAAAGACTCTCTAATACAAAAAAATGTAATAAATACTTCGTCAATATTATCGAAATGCAAAAAAAAAGAATCATTTTTTTTGACTTATTAATATTCTTTTTTAGTATTGAGGTCATAAGGAACTAAAATAAATATGTACTTATTCAATAATCAATGACGTTTTTTTTATATCACAATAACAAAAGAAAGATAGAAAGTACTCATTTGTCATATATTTGTCCTTAACAAAATATTGCATTATAATATAGAAATATTGACTTCTCTTCTTTCAGGGTTTGATTTTTATATAAAATCTTGAGAGATACAAAATAACATATCAATAACTTCTAAGGTAATACACAGCATCTATGGACAATAAAAAAAAGAAAAGCGGAATCCAAATATTTTTCGATTGTGCTCAACTTGTAATTGCATTATTTATTCCATTGGCTATAATTGCTTATACTGTCATGCAAAATAATACTGAGATATCAATTGCACAAGAAAATCGCAAACAAGATTTGAAAATAGCTGATGAACGTCATGAACAAGAAATTATTTTATCCACAGATGAACAAGAAGAAGCAGCTTTGGTTCGTTATTTTGATTCATTAGGTAAATTATTAGAAAAGGATATGAAACTAATGAATCGAACAAGTATTGCTCGGTTTAAGACATTAACAGCTTTGGCACAATTGAAATCAAAACGAAAAGGTTATCTTATTCGAGCATTAATCGAGAATGAATTAATTACTATGAATTATGGTGAAGATCTAATTATCGATTTATCTTTGGCTGATTTAACAGGTCTTGATTTAAGCACGAATATGCTTGTAAAAAATGAAATAACGTGTGTTAGCTTCGATCAAACAACATTAATAAATGCATCCTTTCGAGGCATGACACTGAATGGTATAACATTTGAGCATGCTATTTTGACCAATAGTGATTTCTCCTTGTCTTCTGCTGTTAATATGCGGTGGTGTAGTCATAGCAATATATTTGGTGTAGAGTCCTGCACGGGTGCACTTTTTAGTACCCGAAACCGAACCGGCATTTTTTTTATGCCCGGGCCCGAACCGACCCGGCTAGTTAACCACCCGGAACCGAACCGGACCGAATGAGCTAGACCGGACCCGAACCGACCCGAACCGGCCTACTCAGTTATTTTTCAAAATATGATCAAATTTCTAAACCTTTATTTCATTCAATAAATATATTACATTTAGTTTCGTTCATAAATAACAAAAAAAGAATAAATTATCTAAAATTACGTAAAAAAACAAGTGAATCAAGTGAATCTGGAGTTAGTTGTTGACGTCGTGCTTCTAGAATACGACCAGTTTCACTAAATACACGTTCGCTCGTAGTTGATGATGCTGGAATTGAAAGAAGTGGTAGTGCCAAACGTGATAATTGTGGAAAAATAGATGTATGCTTCGTCCACCATAACAATATATTTTCACCTGTTTGATAATTGACTTTCATTTTCATATATTCTAAAACTTCATCATAGACTTCATCATCATCGTCATCTGTATCATTTGCTACAAATTCTTTTAAAATATCATCAACTGATATATCATCACGTTTAGCACGTTTATTTCGTTTATTTTTTCTTCTATCATTATCAATAGTTATTGTTAAATCAGGTGATTCTTCAACAATTCCTATTGTTTTCATCATTTTTTTAACTGATTGTACAACAGCATTTCGTTCTTTTTGTGATAATGTCTGAAAAAAATCAAATAAAGCAAGATTCTTTTCAATTTATCATTGTTACCGAAAGAGATTTTGTTTCTGGATGGAGAAAAGTTGCGATATAGTGAATATCTGTCAGCCATATTTTATCATCAAGTTTATCTAATATTTTTTGTTTTAATTCACGAATGTATAATGGATCAGTGTCACGGGATTCACATGATTTTTTAAATTTGTAAAACCACGGCAACACTGAGTGTAATGTCGGGACATCATCAGCGGATAGTTTCTCACTACCGATTTTAAAAATTGCAAGTAAATCTGTAACGTCTTTTACCATCAATCGGTTAATTTTTCCAAGATAAGTTGATTCATTTCGATTATCCAATACTTGTTCAATATCATCAAAATTTAACCATATGGACCATAAAGTATCATATGTGGAATTCCACCGCGTGCAAATATCTTGTTTTAATGTTGATGATAATTTCTGTTGAAGTTCACATCTTTTAAAATGTGTTACTAAATCACGACATACTGATATTAAAACATTCATTGTTGAACATTCATCAAGACTTTGTTTAACAACCAAATTTATACAATGACATATACATCGTAAATGAGCTTCTTCACCTAATGCTGAAATCAAATTGGAGCCATTATCAGTGACGTAAACAATTTGAAATACATCAGGATCTATACCAAACGATTTTAATATATTCCATATCATCTTCTTAGTATTTTCTAAAATCATAAGTTAAAAATAAAATCAATTCTTTTGATAAAGTCATATAAATACCTCCAGTTTTAGATTCGCTAACTAAAACAGTCTTCAACACGAGATTCATCATATTTCCATCTTTATTATAATGTATAGTAATTGTTAAATAACTATCTGAAGAAAACTTATTCTTCCAAAAGTCAGTTGTTATTCCAAATAGTTTCACCATTTTTAGATCAGACAATAATGATTCAATTAATTCTACACGACGTTCTAAATAACCGAAACTATTTAATGAAGACAACTACCTTGTTTCCACATACCTTCAGCTAAACTTCTCACGCGTCTTGATATTGTTGTTGGATCAGGAATAATATCACTAGCTTTAATTCGACAAGAATTATTATAAGCAATATCCAATAGACTTTGACATAATACTTCAAAACCACTACCATTAATTATTTCAAATGGACGTAAATCGTACGAACAAAATGTAGCACATGCTTCGGTAAATAAACGTTTTGAACTAGTTGGTATAAAATTTTCTTTGTTCAGCATTGAGACAATATCTTTACTTTTACCTACACTACAATTAATACCACCAAGACATGTTTCAGCATGTGCTTTATGAGTACTAGATCCAGTTTTAGTTGAATCATAAGCAAAAATTGAAAAACATTTAACACATTGAACATAAGGTATAATATTTTCTTTATCATCTTGAATTCTAAGAAAATTTTTCCACCAAGTTGCTGTTGCTGTATTTGGTTTTGCATATGTTTTAAATATACCTTTATCTAATTTCGTTTTAATATCTTCTTTACATTTCTTAATATCTTCTTTACATTTTTTAATATTATTCATATTGTAAGATGTTATTTAGCAAAACAATCAGTATTTTTTATCTGAAACATAACAAAAGTTATACAAAGAAACTAAACTTTTCTTTATGAAATATTTTAATGACTAATGGGTCGTTTAATCATTATTAGATTTATTGTGACTTCATTTTTCATATTAGTAATAGTTTCAGAATAAAATGTTACAAATTTGGTGATGTCACTAGTTGTCGGTTCGGGTCGGGTATACACTCCTACCCGGGAACCGAACCGAATTTTCTTTTTACGCCCGATGCCCGAACCGACCCGGCAAATTTTACCCGTTACCCAGGTCCGGGTCGGGCCGGGTGTCGGGTACCCGTCCGGTTTGCAGGACTCTAAATTTGGTGCTAATTTCAAGGATACGATTCTGGATAATTCTACCTTTGATGATGCAAAACACATAAAAAGCTCATTCGATAAATCTTCACTCAATCATGTTCGAATGCGCCGGTTCAAATGTACTGATTGTATATTTACAAAAGCAAAAATGTACTCAGCAGATCTAAGTGATGCTACGTTTCAATCGGAGTTGGGTTCAAGATCAAGATTTTACTATCAGAAGATGCGTATATTCTCTACTCTTCTATACAGAGCTAAATTCTTCAATATAAACTTTGCTCAGACGGAACTAACAATGGTAAACGCAACAATGGCAACCTTCAATAATTGTGATTTTTCAGTGACTTTTTTCAAGAATAATTCTTTCATTCAAACCACCATTTACAATTCATCTTTTTTTCGAGCTTCTTTAAAACAATCATCATGGTATAAAGCAAAGATTAGTTATACTTCTTTCTTCGAGGCTGATATGACCGATATTAATTTTATCGATAGTGAATGTCATTATTGTCACTTTAATCAGACTCTATTAAAAGGTGCAAACTTTACAGATTCATCACTTGATGGAAGTGATTTTAGCCAAGCTAATATTACTTATCAAGAATTAATCGTTGCTCGATCTCTTCAAAATGTTATTTTACCTAATGGAACTATTTTTCAATAAACATAAAATAAACACTTATTTCTGTTCAAATATTATTATTTGTAATTTATCTTACAGAATTTTGTCAAAATATATTTTAATTTTAATTGAAACTTTTTGTATTCTTAAGGATGTGCAAGGATTGTTCTTGTTATACCCACACTCACGTCCGTTTTGTCTCTGTCACATTCAAAGATAGAGAAATATAAATGGATTTGAAGAATGACATCGAAGCTATCAATCTAAAGAAACTAGCTTATTTAATAATCTACAAAATTTAATTAAAAAATCATGTTTCAAATATACCCACCGGGAGAGACATGCTTCTTTTCTAGAATATTATTTTTTTCTCTTGTCATGATGAAACAGATTTCACATCATTACAGTTTATTTTTTTTATGGAGTTCTGTAGATAAATACGCAAATTACATTTTAATAACTGATATTATGATGTAAATTTCTAAAATGCAAGTTAAGGTTATATGAAGATGTTCAGTTCGCTTCTGAAAATTAATATTCGTCTTCCAGGAGAATTTCCTCTCTGGTAGGCAAGCTTAAAAAAGAAATTTTTTGAAGAACGGCTTAACGAAGCGTGAATACTCACAGACAAGATTTAATTAAAAAGCAGATTCCTGACGTGGCGATTATAAAAATAACTATCAAAATTACATTTTTTATCTTCACAACTATTGCCGACGCACAAACAAGTCTAATTATATATGAGAAGAATATCATCGCAAGATTTTTTATTTAATTTCTCTTTCCTCTTTCTATACTCAGTATTTATAATACTTCAGTTTATTCTCTTTATTATATATTAAATCATGTATTTTACATTTAAATTTATTATAATGTTGTGTTTCGAAATTATAGCAATCCTTTTATCACTTATAATTTTTGGTTATTTCATTAAGAATCGTCAAGCACGTTTAAAAATAAAAAATCACGGGTGGCTTGTTTTACTTAGTTCTAATTTCATTCAGCTGGTTTTTGATTTACCAATGCCAATGAGTTATTATTACATAGGAAGTGTTTGGCCTGTATCAAATATATATTGTACGTGGTGGATCTGGATTGAATACTCACTGAATAGCATCGGCTTATTTCTAATGGCATGGATATCAATAGAACGATATATACTTATTTTCTATCCGCATGCAATATCTCCATTATCATGGAAAAAATGGATATATCATTTTATACCAATTAGTTTTTGTTTAAGTTGGGCGCCCATCTTTTTCTTTGTGATCGTTGTTATTAGTCCACTATGTATCAATGTATGGGACTTTACTCTTCTTTATTGTGGTAATCCGTGTTATTACACAGTAAATATTCTTGTTCAATTTGATTTTAGCTTCGATATTGTTTTTCCGATTACTGTCATTATGGTTGCGAATATGATATTAGTTATTCGAGTGACTTATCAAAAGATATCTCGAAGACAAGCAATAAATTGGAGAAGTCATCGAAAAATGGTTTTGCAATTATGGATTGTCTCATCATTCTATGTAGCATTTTGGTTACCTTCTACGATAACTTTATTGATTCAAATGACTACATTACCCTCGTTTATGATCGATCAATTAGAGGCAATGCTGTTTCTTATCGATCTCATTCCACTTTTCTTACCAATG